TGTAGCTGGCCCTCCCTTTGGTGACTAGATAACATTGTCGACAATCCCTATGTACATATCAAGAACAAATAAAGTGAAAAGGGACTCCCTTATCGAAGGCCCCTTTCAGAAGAGAAATTATCAATCACAAAATTATTTATAACCACCCTATAAGAGACAGAAGAAATAGAACTCATAATCAAGGATCTCCATTTACTACTAAAGCCTAGTTTACCCAAAATAGCGTCAAGACACTACCATTCCATCAATCATACGCTTTGCTCATTTCCAATTTAAGTGCGACCCAACCATCCTTACCTTTTTCTTTTTTGTTTCATAGTATGCAGCAACTCACAGGCTATAAGAACATTATCAGATATAAGACGCTTTGGTTTTCACTAATACAAGTTGGTAACACCAACTTTAATCTATTAGCTAAAGTTTTAGCAATAATTTTGTAAAGCACATTGCACAGGCTGATTGGTCTGTACTGGGTCATTTTCCTAGGACTACTAGTTTTGAGGATGAGGACAATATGGGTTTCATTGATACTATTCCGGCTACCAGTTCCATTCAAACAATCAAAACAGAAATTAATAACTTCAGGTCTTACACACCGAAATGTAATCCACGACCAGACACCACCGAATATTGCCGTTATCGCCGCCTATCACCCAAAGGACTTCTTTTTTTCTCCAGCCTTCTCTGTTCTTGCTTTTGTTCGGCTAGACTATATTCTGCTGTTGATGCTTTCGGCTCTGCTGATTATTGGATTTCCGTTTTCTGTTGTGGTTGCTTTGTTTTCTGTCTCAAGGTTTTGGGCATGCGTTATTCCGGGGTTTGGATTTTCTGGTTGGAGCTAATTGAGCTTCTGAATTAAAGTTCTCTGTTATTGCTCTGGAAATTGTTTCCTCTGTATTACTTGTTCAGATTTTCGATTGGGTTCCATTTGATAATTTTAGGTTGCTGACCTTTGTCCAGATTCTAGAACTCGCTTCTTTGGCAGAGAATTCCTTGCTTTGCTAATTGTGAATTTGTGATCTCAGCTGCCTCTGATGAATCTTAGATTTTTCGTGCTGACAAACTAGAGCTTTTGGAACTAGGTTTAGGACCTGCTGATGTGCTGTTTGCTGGAAATTAGGATTTGTAAAAACCAAAAAGCTTTGCCCAGAACTTTTTTGCTGCCAAAATTTGCTTGGTATTTGCTCTTGATTTTTGCAATTCTATTCCCGTGATGGTTGTTTCTGAATTCTCTATGTTTGTGGCACTTGGTGGATAGGGTGAGGCTGACCTGCTGTGGCTGAATTGCTGTTTATTTCTTCTAAATTGTGCTCTTTTGAAGCTAGCTACTGATCTATGAGGCACAATTTTTGGTTGATTCCTTCGATTTGCTTTCTGTGTTTTGTGCTGGTACTTGTTCTCTGCTTACCGAATACAACTTAATTGCTTGATCGAATTGCTTGACTCTGGTGTCAGTGGCCTCTGATTGTTTTTTTGTTTGCTGCTGTCCGGCCCCGTTATTCACAGATTGAGAGCTCTTTTTATAAGGGATGAGTTCCTTTGGACAAAATTTAACTTCACCGTTATGATAAAAATTTCCGAGACTTTCTTCTTTGATTTTTTCTTTTCCAGTGAGTTGGAGATCAAATATTTCCTTAGGCAATGAATCTTTAATTTTCAAATTTTAAGATTGAATCTAAGACTCAAATGGGTCCAAGATTTTCCCTACAAAATCTCACTTTTTTTTTCGATTTTTTGATTTTTTTTTCTGATTTTAACCAAAAAAATTAAAACCAAAAATAAAATCAAAATTAAAATCAAAATCAAAACTAAGATTAAAATTAACATTAACATTAAAAACAAAATTCAAATCAAAATTAAAACTACAATCAAAATTAAAATTTGTGAACCTTTAATATTTAGATTCAAAATTCATTTTTTGTATTAAGATTAACTTGCACAATCAAAATTTATTTTAATGCAATAAAATCTCAAATAAAATGAAATGTCTATATATATATATATATGTATATTATATAAATAACTTAAATAATAAATAAATTGTATAATAATGAAATTTGAATTAACATAGGGAATGCTTGTCATATCTGCAAAATATATTATTTTACATAATGTTTAGCGCTTTTAGCATATTAAAATATAAAATTAGAACACTAATTAAAAAGAAAAAATTCAATATAAAATTAAAAAAATTTTATTTATAAAAATAATTGATTTGATAAAAGTCTTTCAATAAATTAAAATTCTTATAATTAACAAATTAATGAATAAATATTATTAGTATTTATAATAAAAAATATTTAAAATAAAAATTTCAAGATATAATGAACATAAATGTCTATTTTCGTTAATCAACAGTTATACCAACATCTGTGCTTTTATTTATACTAAATTTTGTTGCACTGTATGTGAGACACAAATACATATTTTTATTTATCTTTAAATAATAATTATATTTAAAACATATAGTTGCATATTTTGTGCACAAAAAAAAAATTTTTCTTGTTAATAGAAACGTGTTTTGAACAGTAAAATTATATTGAATTACAACTTTTATTCGGTTGACCTAAAGCATATAATATATAAAATCAACAAGTAATTGATTCAATCGGTTAAGGTCATTCTTTTTGATAAAAATATATTAAATTTAAGTCTTATCGATAATCATTTGTTGAGATCATATCGAATGTACGATTTATAATCATCTATTTTAAATTATCAAATACAACACATTTTATTTTAACTTAAAAAAATAAAATAATTTATCTATCTCAAATTTTTCTTACAATCTATCTCTTAGTTCTTGCTCATTTTAAGTTCGGCCGCACATTTTATCATATTCATTTTATTTACCGTAAACACCACACTAACTACCACACGAACTTAAGTATCGAAACGTATTTCGAAATAACAACTTCAACATCTCTATCCATATTTTTTAATCGCAGGTTACATTTTACATTCTCTCATACCTCGCTTCTCTCCTTTAAGCTAAAACAACCAAAAACACCATAAAAACAAAAATTTTTTGAATTTTAAAACGAAAAGATGAGTAGGGAAATGAAATGGACAGAGCTTTCAGTCACAATCAATGTTGAAAATTTTTATATTAAAAAATTTCAACAAAAAGAAATATTATTTTGAGCCCAAACAGTAGTTCAAGTACTGTTATTATTAATTAAGCACCATAAATGTATGGAAAGAAATTAAATTCAAAATTCCAAGTGTCTTCATAGAAACAACAGCGGGATTCTGACCAAAAGTACTATTGGGTGCAAGAAAAAAACAACTCTTCGATATATATATATATATATATATATATATATATATATATAAAAGAACATTAATTAAAAGAATCTCCAAAAAAAAAAAATAAAGGTGAATATCTGTCTTATATAATAAATTATCACTCTAACTTATGAACCATAAATTTTTTTTAGCTGCCAAATGTTTTATGGGCTGAATCAATAATTAAATTATTTTTCTTGATTTCGAAAATAAATAAATGGACTATAATTTTGCTTGTGTCATTTTAAAAATAAAAACCCTAAAATCTCATATTTCTTACATCTATTCTTCTAATTCCTAAAAGTTAAGCTTGGCCCAAGTATCCTTCAATTAGCCAGACAACTAAGTTTAAAATTAAGCCCAAACTAAGTAAAAAAAAAAAAAATCACTCGTGATAATTTTTATTAAAGCATTTTTTATGTTATTTAATAATTTTTTTCTATTATTATTATAATGATAATTGATTCAATTATTTATAAAAATTAAAATTGATAAAAAAAATATTAAAAACATATAATAAATTAATTCTTTGAAAATCTAAAGAGGAGATTTTGATTAAAAATATAATTTTTCTAAATAAAAGATAATTATCGGCTCCACAAAATTATTCAAATTAAAAACTCTTCAAAATTTTCAATATAAAGATTATTTGAATACAACATCGACATAGAAATACCAATAAATCTATCTATATATAACTAATGTATGCTTAATATAAATATAAAATGTTACAAATATTTATAATTTTGTTCTCAGCTCTTTGACTTTCTCCCCTTCCCCCATGAGTTTTGCCGATCTCATGTACCAAAAAAATCTTTATAACTTGTTTTTTCTTTAAATTTTTTATTTCAAGAGTCAAGTATTCAATACAACGTTGCAAATATTTAAATATATAGATATTTCAATTTTTAAAAGAAAAAAAATGATATGTTAGATTAAATATGTAATTCTAAAATATTTAGTTATAATTATAAAATGAATAAAAAATAATCATTCAAAAAATAAAAATTAAATTCTTACATATATATTTGTTATAAAATATATATTTTAGTATTTAATATACATATATTAAAATAAAAAATAAGTATTGGTAAATATATAAAAGAATCTCACAACGAAATGTGGGAAGCATTCTAGTATATATAAAGAAATGGTCTCTCCTTCATTTCTTTCAGGTAAATAAAACTTCATAAATTATCCTTGAATTGATGTAATTATTAGATTGGATAATTCGTAAGATATGAAAAGGATATGAAGAAAAAAATGTGAAAGTAATATAATTTAAAATTTTAATAAAATTATATATTAAAAAAATAAAAAATATATTTTGTATTTAATGAATTTGATATGATGGTTTTTATAATTTTTTAAATATAAATATTCTAATTGACAACTCGGCTTCCAATATTCCAAATTATTACTATTTAGTTTCTTACATTTAAGCACTAGTTAATTAATTTCCTATTAAAAATTAATCCTCAATGGACAGTTTGCTTTCTTATACACAAATAAAACAAGTAAAAAATCCCCATCATCTGATCCTCACCAATAGTTAAAACTTTTTGCCACCCGAAATTTTGGATCAAGGATGATACCTGTTCAAAAGAATAAGTTCCAATCTCTCAAAAAAAAAAAAAAAATAATAATAAAGTTAAAGCTCTTTCATTAGCAGTACGACTACTACAATTTTTTTTTTTTTTTAAAAGATATAACTAAATTTGATGATTCTTTCCGTTTCCCAGCTTCAATATTCCATACCTGTCCCAAAAGCGTTGGTCTCCTTGGTTTACTGCAGCAATCTGAAATGAATTGATGTCATAAGAATGTGAAGGTGATGAATCCATGGCTTGGTCTTTCACAGTATAATTGGTCTTATTTTCTTGGCCAACAATTGAGTCAAGCTGCTGATGAAAATAATTGATGCTCCTGAAATCCTCTTTGCGCTTCTTGTAACACTCAGCATTTGTCATGTCAAAGTACATCTGCATATTGTCCCACTTCTCTTTACACTCAACTGCTTCACGCCTATGCCCCAAACTCACCATTTTTGTTTCTATTTCTTCCCACAAGCTTTGCCTTGAAGACCCAGTTTCCAGGAATCTTGGTTCCAAGCTTTTCCTAAGCTGTATCAAGCTAGAGACTTCATGTTCAGTCCATTTGTTTGTGTTAATCTCATCGTGGTTTTTGGTCAAAGGCGCTTCTGCTGAGGATGAAACTTCTAGCCCTTTCTCTGTGAACTTTTTCAAAACCTCCATTAATGCAGCATCACGAGATTCAACCCAAGCTTTTTCCTTGGCCCAGAACTCGAGTTCCTTATCAAACTGAGCAGCCACTTGTCTCCTCCATTCTTCCTCTTTCGACATTCTCTCTTGCTCTTTATCTTCAATGATCTTCAACATTCTTTTCATCCAAACATCTTGTGAAAAAATTAACTTCTTCATCTGTGACTCCACAAAGCCCTTCACCTTCGTTTTCCATCCCTTCTTGCTTCCACTCTTCTGATTCTCCATTGACTGTTTCATCATAAAAGCAACAGCTGAAAGGTCATCACCATTGTTTTCCGACGATGAAGTCTCAAATTCAGATGCATTGGAGAAACTAAGGCTCTCACTTAGTTTCCGTTCTTGCATGGATTCTTGCTTTTCTTGGTTCATTGCATTGCTTTGAGTCTGGGAAAAAAGAGTCCTTTGAGCAAGGTTGGTTTCTGAGACTGAACCTTGATTGCTTGTTTCACCATAAAGGGCTTCCAGTTGTCGAAAGAACCTGTAATTTTTCCCGTCTTGTCTTCCAGCTTTACCTTCCTTAGTTTTCTTGTAGTATTTGTAAAGGTTCTCAAACTTCTCTCTACATTTCTTCCCACTTCTCTGGTACCCATGCTCCTCCGACATTATTCTAAATCAAGATAGAATATCAAGAAATTAAACATAAAAAACAAAAAGTAAAACTAACCCAAATCGTAAAAGAAAAACTAACCCTAGTTTCAGGATACAGTTTCCCTTTAGCCTCCAAACGATGTTATCCAATAGTTTCAATATAAAATCTATACACCATACACAACCGTTTAACAAATGTAAACTCTGTAATTAATTAATTTTAAATTTAAACATGTTGAAAGTGTAAATATCTTACAAGAATTGATTAAGCAAAGAGGGTTTGTACGCAAGCAACAAAAGAAAGAAGATTTGTTTTGGTAAGAGTTTGCTGAAATGAAGGCAGTTAGGAATCCAGTGAAGGAATACCAGGGATTAGCCATTTTGCAAAATAAGACAATCTAGTTTAAATTAAAAAAGAACTGATAATGGATCTCTGAGTTAACTCACAGCCCTGTTGCTTTCAATCAGAGATAGAAAGCCAGCTGAAACAAAACATCATTTGATTGAAAACTCTTGTACTTTTCATATAAATAGAAAGACAAACTGGTTTTACCATGCAAAGCCAAGTACGTTTCTTGATTAAGCATAATCACAAAGTTGAAACCAAAAGAGTAAAAATGGAAATCCAAGTGAAAAGAAGAAGAAGAACGGATAAAAACTGAAGTGGGTTTAGTATGAAATATATATATATATATATATATTTATATATATACCTAGACACTTCATCCCACAAGGGTCCTTTCTGATTAGCCTCCTTGAACTTGGAATCAAGTCTAGATCTGATCTCCAGCAGAGTGATAGTCTCTTGCCTCGGCCACCGACTCTTGCCAACATCGATATTTCCCAGACTCCATCCACTACTCTCCATCTCAACTCCAAACACTGCTGCACAAGGACGAGAAGCCGCAGCAGCAACAGAAGCAGAAGCTGAAGAAGCAATAGCACTGGTGGCAGAAGCACCTACGAAATGGCCATGGCTAAACCTAACCAAACCACTAGGCATTGCCATCCCATTGCTCAGCATGAAGGCTTCATGGTATGGAGCTAATGGAGCCATGTTTCTTTGAGGAAGGTATGGTTCAGAGGTTTGTGGCAAGGTTGCCGGAAAATGGGTTCTCCTGGCTAGAAACCGCCGGAGATCAGGTAGGCCGTACTGATCAGCCATTTCCATTACGTTTTGTCGGAGTGAAAAGAAAAACTAGTAAAATACTGAATAGAAAGAGAAAGAGAGAAACAGTCAAAATGTTTATATGAGATTAGACGACTTTGTTTGGGCCTTTTTTCTTGGGAGACAGGATCCGAGTCTACCGCATCTTTCATCAATCTTTCATCACTTCATTCTCTCTCTCTCTCTCTCTCTGTGTCTCGCGTAATAGAAACTATACGTAAATTGAGAGCCAATGAAATGGTGACAAATGTCAAAGCATTACATAAGGAAGGATATACGGAGGCCCAGAGACTGGTCATATGACGCGTGTTGCAGTGCTGGGACTTTGTCTTTTGACCAACCTGTGCGGTGGGATCCTCCAGCTGGGCCTTCGGCACTAGGCCCCTATCCCTATACCTGCCCCTGGCTATAAGTACTCTTGGCTTGTTGCTCTCCGCTTTTAAATGGCTGAGCCATTGCTTTCAAAGTATCGTTGAATGCAACTGTTCTTTTCCAGGGATTCAATTTGCTTCGGATTTAGCTACCTTCCATTATTTTTCAGTATATTTTTTATCATCCTTCACATATGTAGAATGCGTTGGTAAATTTTGTAATACGAAAATGAATTATGATTGTGATCATGATATATGAAGATGGTAATGAGTTTTATCATCTCAAATTCATGAGGAAAAAAATTCATTCCTTTTGAAGAATTATTTTATATTCGTATCATTTCAAATTCAGATCTTGACTTTGAAATTTTTTATTGGACAATCAAATTATTTGCATTGGAGTCATTGTAATTAAAAATTATTTAGTTATAAAATTAAATCAATTTAATTTTAGATTATTGAATTTAAATTATTTCATATTCAGATTGGATAAGATCGATTGTTGATTTTTTTATTAAATTGAGTTGGTTTTGGATGTGCGTATCGGCACAAGTTTTTCTAATTGGGATCAGTTTTAACGGCTCTAATGATAATAAAAAAAATATATTGCAAATAATGAAGGGAGACCAACCATTGGTTGGATATAACTTTTTTTTTTTTTTTCAATGAGGATACACCAAACATGATTGAAAATACTGTTGCTAAGAGGATCTTATATTCTTTGCAAGTGTGCATGTGTCGGATTTATTGAAATTTCCTTTACATTGCTTGAAATTTATTTGGGAAAATATATGATATGCTATGATAAAGTTACAAAAAATATATATATTTAGTTATATAGACGAATTATTTTGTCATCAGATTCAAAACAGTTCATTTTCATGCTTTTATAGCAATATATAAATATTTATTTATTTATTTATTTATTTTATATATATAAAAGAGGAATCTACTCATACAAATGTAAAAGTTATACATTTTTTTATTTTTAAATTAAAATAACTAAATATAAATATTATAAATTTAATTTTGATTCAAAAATTTTTAAAAAATGTATAACTTTTATTCTAATATATGTGTATCTTTACTTATATATATTTATATAATAAGTTTTGATTTGGATTTGATTGGTTTGGTTCTTTGCCTTGGATTGAAATGTCACCTTACACCTTGGGAAAAGTATTTACTACAATTTTTTGGACTATTCTACTTTTAAAGACAAAAAAGATTGTTCAACTTCTTTTATGATGAAATTGTACAATATTTGAATATTAATTATTTGATTTATCACACTGCACATGCAGATCCACCCATGCAAATATAACTCTTTTGAATATATATATATATATATATATATATATATGAGTAGAAGTTTAATTTATTAATATAATTTTTATACTTTTTTTTTTAACATTTGAATAAAAATTAAATTATTGACTCATTTGAATCTAAATAATATGTAAAAGTATAAGCGTTATATTGGTGTAAATGGATCTTTCCTCTTCATATATATATATATATATATATATATATATCCATTTATACAAATATAAGTGTTACACATTTTTTTATCTTTGATCAAAATTATTATGTGTAAATATTATAAATTTAATTTTCATCCGATAGTCAAAAAAGTGTGTAACATTTAAATTAGTGTAAGCGGATTTATATTATGAAAAGGGATTTACTTATATTAATTATATAAGTCTTACACATCTTTAATTATTGAACCAAAATTAAATTCATGATTAATTTGGATCAAAATAATATTTTTAATCTTAGTTATTTTAATTCAAAAGTAAAAAAAAAAAGACTTACATTACTATAAATGGATCTTTCCTATATATATATATATATATATATATATATATATATTTATGAGAGCAAATAAAAAGGGCTTTGAGTACAATTTTTTCTTTCGAACATATATAAGATGTTATTTTTCTATTGAAAAAAAAAAAAGAAAAAGAAAAGATACGATCATTTTGTTATTAGGGCATTCATGTAAACACAAGGTCTAAATATGAGGTTTTAGTTGAGGAGTCATAATTTGTCATCTAAGTCAAGAATCTAATTTGTCATCTAAGTCAAGAATCTAATTTGTCATTTTTTTTATAATATGTTTTTAACAAGGAACATCTTGAAAATTCCTTTATGTAATCGAATGAAAGATCAATATTGATTGAATGATTGCTTAGACATGTACTTCAAAAGATATGTTTAAAAATATTGATAATTATAAAATTATAAATTGCATTAAATATAATTATAAAATTTTTAATAATTATGATCGGATATGAAAATTTTAATTTTTTATTTCTATGATCATTATCGTTGTTATCGTAATTTTTTTATAAGGTGTATATCAGTCATGTTAAACTTGATTGACATATGAAAAAACTTAAGTATGAACCTTTTATATTTATTATTAAAATATTAAAATAATATGAAAAACTTAAGCCTAAGCTTAAACTCAATCAATCAATTTATTTTATATTTTATTATTAAAATATTATGTAAATATATTTTAAATTTAAAATAAAATAATATTATTTATTAATGTAATAATAATTCCGATCAAACCTATAAGTCTAACAGGTTATCCAAACGGCGAACAACTCTAGTTTTCATCCTCGTAATGATCAAATGAGACATGGTAAAACCTTTTAAACTTTAGGTTAAAATATTAAAAACCCCATGAACTATTTCATTTGTCTTAAATAAATTCTTATATTTTTATTATATTTGAATAAATTTTTATTCTTTTATTTGTATCTATATAAGTTTTTATTTTGAAGCAAAAGATTGATTTATTTAAAGTTTATTAAAGTACAAATTAAAAAAATTAAAAATTTATTTAGATGCAAATTAAAGATTAAGAACTTAATTAGGTGCAAATTAAAATTTAAGGACTTATTTGAAAGTAATAAAAATATAGAACTTATGTAAACAAAATGATAAAATTCAAAGACTTTTTTACTATTTTAGCCTAAACCATATTTATAGGTTATGATAATTTAATTTAAGCCTTCATTAAGGATCCTATACATCTTTTATTATTACACCTTATGCCTTTTCATATCACAACCAAACAACCTTAACAATTAATTCACATAAATCTACTAGTTCCACTATTGATTTAATCATGTTATTACTTTGTTGGTTTTTAATAGATTTGTCCAAGAATTAAGTTACTTTTATAATATTTGAAAAGGTTTGAAAAAACATATTGAAATCGTTAAATATAGTTGGACAAAAAATGAGGTCCATTTAATAAGACAAGGAGCCAATTGACTCCATTATTCAAAGTTTGAGCCCGATTTAGCCTGACAACTATAATAGATATTATATTTTATATTTATATATATTAATTATATAAAAATATATATAATACTATAATGTAAACGTAAAAAATATGTTAAGTAATTCATGTTTTAAAACTTGGTAGAATAAAAAGGTAAAAATATTAAAGATGAACTAAAAATATATTTTTTATTTATTTTAACAAGTTATTTGAATGGGTCTAGATTGTACTTAATTATTATTTAATTTGGACATGTTAAAGTGATATTATCTTAAATTTATTAAATATCTAATCTTTTAGGTATTATATTCAAGTTGAGACTTTTTATCAATTATCAATTGATTTTAGATTGAATGCTTAATATAATATTAGAGTTTTATATTCTATTTTGTTATTCAATTTTGTTACTCTTGTACGTTACCTCTTTTAAGTTTGTCACATGATAGCTTCTATTTTAGATTACATGTGATGAAAATCTATTAAAGTGATGTCATATCATATTTATTAAATATTTTATTTTTGTGATCTTATTTTCAAGTTAAGACTCTTTATATATTATCAATTGATTTTAAATTAAATGTTTAGCCGTGCGAATAAGATAAAATTATTGGATCAGATCAATTTTAAACAAATAAGATGTTGATGTCATGTCTAAAATCATCCTAATTCGAGCTCATAAACACTTCTATTTCTTGTTTAAGAATCACTCCACTATCAGATCTAATTACTTAATTGATAGGATTCCCAACTTGATGCAACTTCTTTTACATCATAACACTCACAAAATTTCTCTTTATACCTCATTAATAAATACATCCCACTTTTAAAATATAAATCTTTATTTCTTCTAAATACACCCCATCTCAACAACATCACATTTTTCTTTATACCAAACTTAACCCTAAAACCATTAAACCCTTAAATCATAAGTTTTTTTTAATATTTCATTCATTGCAGGTAAGATATCAAGATTTTTGTTCATTAATTTGATTGAAATCAAGTGAAAGTTAGGGTTTTTTTAAAGTATTTTTGTTGAAATTGTGTTTCTTAAAAATAAATTTCTAATTTAGAAGGTTCTTGGAAATTCATTTCAAAAGCTTTAAAAGGTTTATTGAGAATGAATTTCTAAGAGTCTTTTAAAGTTTTTAGAAATTGATTTTCTAAAACTTTAAACATTGAATAGAGCGTGAATGGGGTATAAAGTTTTTTTGTTGTAATCATAGATATCGAAAATAAATTTTCAAGAACCTTAAAACACGGGATGTAAAAAAGATAAAATTATAATTTATTAAAAGATAAATTTAATAATTTACATATGGATATTTTTT